CCTCAGCAAATGGGGGATGGAGGAAGTTTGCCTAGCGCCACCCAGCGAGTAAATGCAAGGATGCTGTAATTTTGTGGAAAAGAACATAGAAACCATCTCCCACCTCCCCTTTCTACCCAGTGATCCAATTTCCCATGAAAACTCTCTGTTTGGCTCTCGGTGGGTAGTATCCAGGGCAGCTGCCTCTCTCTGGGCCCCAAAGTCCTCCCCTTGCCAACCCAGTTAAGTAGAATATCTCTGGAATAACACAGAGTGACTGCACTTAGCTGCCCGTTCAAGTTCAGCATTCGTGACTTGAAGCTACAACTAAACCCTTCGGAGGCGCAACTTCCCTTCTCAGAACATCCGAATTTCCAACCAGGCTCCTTCCCGAGCGTGGAGACGGCGTGGCAGAGGGAAATGGGCTTCCCCACTGTCAGAGCTCACAGGTACCCTCTCTGCTGTCACCGCTAACAGCCACCCAAGGAGCATCCCGGGCCCGTACCACCCTCAATGCCCGGGACTGCTGAGCAGAATTCACACGTTGACATCGAACTTGGTTCTTCTCCCTTGCGATCAGCTTGCTTTTCTTTTCACTCAGGGGTTGGGCTTTTCCCACATCCTACAAGCCGGCACCAGAGAGGGCGGGAAGGAGGGCATCGGGAGGAAAGAGCAGGGCAGAGCTGCGCTCAGCTGCTGCCAGGCCTCTAATTGGAGCCGTGACGGAAACGAGGACAGACGGAGAGCCGGCTCTCCGGGAGGCTCCTGGGTGCCATGCGAGGGATGCGGCGTTTCTCCTCTTCAGCAAGACCCAGAGAAGGACGCTAATTGTTACTTTGGGTGCGTGGAGTGTAGACTATTTGTGAGCAAGGGAAGAGTTCTTGGGCTGTGACTAAAGAAAGCGTAATGAGTGTGGGAAGAGAACTTCTGAGCCCCTTAAGCTGAAGCTCGGGTAATCGGCACCTTCAGCTCCAGCCTCCACGTCTTTGTTGTGCAGTCGAGGTAATGATCACCCGTGCTGGGAAGAAGGCACGGGCTGGCAGAAACCGTTCACCGCACAAAGCGTTCTTCGGTTGGGAAAAAAAAAAATCAGAAAAGAAAAAAGAAAACTGTTTAAGCTTAAAAACCAAAAAAGAAGGGGCTGGCTCCAGTTGCCGAAATGTTTTATAAAGCGAAAACAAAATGAAAAAAATAAAAAATAAACTGTCCCAGAGAACTGAGAGAGTGCCAAAAATATTAATATACGGGAACATGGTGAACCTTCTGGAAGCTGTAAATATTTCCTTAGTTTCCCACGTGTGATCAGCAAGTATGGCGGCCCCTTTTCTCCCTCTGCTCTTCCTGTTTGAAATCTCTGCCAAATACCAATTTTGCCAAAAAATAAAAAAGTATCAGGTAAAGATACTGTGTCTGCCAAAGGCCCAGGAATTTCTTGTTTTAAATAACAGAGGCAGAGGGTTCCAACCCCGTGAACCAGGAAGGAGGAGAATATAGAAAACAAAGAGTAAACAGGCCCCCAGAGCTCAAAAATGAAACAGAACGGGGTATATGTGAGCATGATACGCGCACCAGCGAAGTTCACTGAGGCCAAGTGGCCACACAAGATACCAGACATCTGGCTAAGTCTGAATTTCAGATAAACGACAAATAAGTTCTTGGGAGAAGTAGGTGCAGTCTAAGTTTGCCCCATGACATTCAACGTAACTGGGCGTCCTGTAGTTTCATTTGCTGGACCCAGCCGCCCGCCGAGGAGGAGACGCGTCTCGGTGGTAGGAAGAAGGTTCTGGTGGCTCTACTGGGCAGGACGGGCAGTGCCCACCCCGACTGCTCAGGGCAAGGCCCTGGGGCCGTCTGTGGTTGGTGGAAACGGGGCCCCTGCCCGTGGGTCAGGAAGGGTGTCAGGGAGGACCCGGGAGGTGGGCGTCTCAGGGTCTCTAAGTTCCCCGTCCTCTACCTGGGAGCAGCCGCGATGAGACCCACGGCGGGTTCTGACGTGTCCCCGCGAGCGCTGCTACAGGGAAGCTCCGCCTTTCACAGACGCCACCTCGGAAAAAGCAGGGTCCGAGCTTCTTCCCCGCCTCTCACTCCTTAGACTCATAGCCAGGCTTCAGCCACCCGGACATCGTCTAGAGAGACAAAGGCGTCTTCACTGATTAAGGGAGAGAGGACGATCCAGAAATTCTGACACACACACCCCTCCTCCCCCGCCATCTCCTGCCCCTGGGGAGGAAGCGCCACCTCTGAGGCCAGAGCTCCCTCCCGCAAAGTGGCCACAAATGAAGCCCTCTGCTCCAGGTGACTGTGACCATTGGATCGGAGATGTGGGGAAGCGCCCGGCCAGGGCCTGGTGAACACTGGTGCCCTCTCGGTCAACATGGTGGCCTCAGGTGGCCCTGAGGAGGCCCTCATCCTCTGCTACCTCTCAAGAAAGAAGGAGCCCAGCCTGCCCCGTGCTGTGAACATCCTCAAGGAGCGGACCCCAGTTCCATGCAAAGCCGCATTTACGTCCCCCCACACCAACCCCAGACCTTAGTGTCAGGCGAGGAGCCCGCCTGAGCCAGACAGACAGCAGGATGTCCCGTGAGCGACGCTCTTTGCTAGTGGTGAGCACCCGCAGCGCCAGGCATCACGCAGAGCCCTTTACACTCGCCCTCACCGCCGCCAAAGAGCCCTGCAAGGGGGAGGTACAATCATTACCCCCTCTACAGATGAGGACACTGGGCTCAGAGAGGTTAAGCAACTTGCCCAAGGTCACTGAGATGGCACGGGGCCGAGACCTGAGCCCAGATCCCAAAACTTGTACATTTAACCACAATACTCTACCCGGTTCTAGTCCTGGACCCATCCCCCAGGCTACCCTGTGCAGATATTTCTGCGAAGAATTGACAGGCTCAGCAAACTCTTATTCAGCCTTCAAAACCCAACTTGCTCATCACCTCCTCTGCAGTTTACTGCCTCATCTGGGGCTCACTCTGAATCCCATACGCCCTACCGTCACTTCGTATGTAAGGCTGCATTCTCACGCAGTTGCATGCGCATCTGTGTCCCCACTAGACGGCGCTCCTGGAAGGCCGGAGGCTTGCGTTTCCATTTCTGTGCCTGTTCGACTTCCACACACGCTGCCCCGGCCCCCTTTGTGTCCTTCAAACACCCCACGCCGGTTCCCCTCAGGACCTGTGCCCTGCATGGAAAACCGTCTGTTCCCTTCACGTGGGCCCCCCACCCACCAGATCTGTGCCCAACGTCCCCTCCTCAGAGAGGCCTTCCCTGACCACCCATTTAAAACAGTCCCCTCCATGCACCCCCTCACCTCTCTGTCCCCTCTAGCCGCGCACCCTGGGGCAGGTCCCCCTGGCAGTATGTCGCCCGTCCTTTGCTTGTTGCTTCAGCATCTGTCTTCCCACGTGGCGTGCCAGCCCCAGGAGGACAGGGACTCGCGGGTCTGCCCCTCCTGTGTCCCCAGCACTTAACCGGCACCAGCCACATGGCAGATGCTCAACAAACCTCTGTGGGCTGCATGAACCCTCAATGTCTGGCTTAGACAGTCATCAGTAAATGAATTTATTCTTAATTAATCACTTTAACAGAAATGTCTTACAAGCTTCCCAAGGGGGGAGCAGAATTTGTCCTCCCCGCGTGATGAATCTTTCTCTCTTCCTAGCCATTCACTCAATCCTCCCCAGAATATCCTCCCCATTGCGGGAACGGGGATCTCAGAGAACAGGCCGGGATGAAAGCCCCAGCCCCGCTCTTCCCTGGAGACCTGTCCCCTCCCCCAGCCCACCGGCTTGCTACTGGCTCAGCCACCGGCACGGGGTGCTGCACATTCATTAATGAACCGATTCTGCTCCAATTCCAGCCCCTCCGCCTCACTAATGTGACTGAGGAGGCCGTCGGGACCACCCCAATCTTGGGCTTCGGCCAGGCATTTCCATGCGCCTGGGGTGTAGGACCGTCGTGACGAGAGGAAAACGCACCAGCTGAACCGCCCGCCGCGCCTCACAGAAGCACACGTCTGTTGATCAGAAGGCAGGGAGTCGGGCCAGGAGAGTCCCAGACACCCAACTGGAGGATGGAAACACTCATGCCCTCTTGGAGCACTGCCTTGGTGACTAACCGGGGGTCGACCCAAGTATACCGCCTCCTTTCGCTCAGCCCCCTGAGGCTCCGGACACCTGCGTGCCTCTTGGCTGCTCAGCCAGAAAAATGTGCCCCTACCCTGTGCAGACATTCTCCTTGCTGTCGTCTCAGACCCATTTTTCAGTTCCAGGCCCTGACAACACGGTGTGGTAGAAGCCTGGGGATGTCAATGAGTCAATCAACAAACACCGATTGAGCACCCCCGTGACAGTATGATTAATGCTGATGGGCATGAAAGAGGAGGGTGTAGACTGCAGGTAATGTCATCTATGAACTTCATTTAGGAACGTTATAAAGAGTGAGTGCCAACAAACGCATATATTCTCCAAAAGACCTGTGCAGCAACATTCACAGCAGCACTTTTTTGATGGCCAAAAACTCGAAGACAATGTCTGTCCCTGGAAGACTGGAACGCTCTCCCGGAGAAGAATGAACCCACTAGGGCCACAAACAGCCCGTGGACCGACCTCTCAAGCACGACATTGGACAAAAGAAGCCAGGCACAAAGAACATCTGGATGATTCCATGCACACAAAGTTCAGGCAATGGCAACACTAATCCCTGCAGAGAGACGTCCCCAAGGCCCAGAGGAGAGTTGTGACCGTGCACGCCGCTAAGGGCGGCCATCGACGCTCTGTTTCCTGATCTCTAGGTAGTGGTTACAGGTGGTGGTCGGGTCTGGAGCTTCCCCCAAGGTTTTCCGCAGAGGAGCAGGTGAGCAGGGAGGTGGGCGAAAAGCTCAGGCTCAAGCAGAGGGTGGCTGCAAGCCTGGGACCAACGACGTGGCAGGAGCCCAGGACCCCACCCCCGCCAGGTGCGGCCCCGCCTCAGCTTCCGTGCCCTGCGTCGCCTGGCAACCGGTCTCCCTGGCGACGGGGACGCTGTGCCCTGGGACAGAGCTTGCGGGACGCACCAAGACCCCAGACCCCATGGCGCAGAAACCGCTCGGCACCGAGGCCGCGGAACGCATGAACTTTGTGGCCCAGGACAAGATCTGGTAACGCCGGGATCCGGTAACCCGGTGGGCTGGGGGGTTCCCACCTGGAGTGTGCGCACCTGGCGGCCTGTTTCCCCACGACGTCCGGGAGGTGCTCGACCTCTGGGCGCGAGGGGCGTGCGCTGAGGATGGTCAGGGGCCTTAGTAAAAGGGGACAACGTTACGGACACGAGGGCGACAGGTGAGTCTTCCTCCCTGTCCTGTCAGGCCCATCGGGGAGGCGGAGACGTGAGAGATTTTGCACCGACTAGATTTGCTCTTGAGGGTCGACCAACATGTTCTTATTTTTAAAATTGATCCGATTTAAAAGAAAACAAAAATCTTAATATTTGCCCAATTTGAATGAGAGATACAAGTGCACTTTAACTCTCAATGATTTTCCTGGATTTTTAAGTAATAAGAACTTTTAATTAAAAAAAACAACCATTTTCTAAAAGATTTACCATCAGCAGACATTTGTAATGGGTATTTTTAATTGATATTCTAGCAGAGTGCTAAATACTATCCCGTCTCTTTGAAGTTTTAACCGATATGGGAAGTTACGAATTTAGGTTTAGTTTTAGTTACAAGGAAGCAGAACTGCTTACCGCCTGAACTACCGTTTCCTTGTAAAACCTGTATTAGTCACTTCATATTTGTCTTTAAATTGGGTTTTACTTAATAAATTTATAGGCAACTTTACATCACTCTCATAAATGGAAAACCTGTATCATTTGGCATAATATACATAGCTATTAATTTTTTTAGAAAAACTTTAGCCAAGTATCCCCAGTAGGAGATACTGCCATAGCAGGGTCTGTTCCCTCCGTCTAAAATGCCCTTTCCTTCCTTCTCCACCAAACTCCTACTCATCCTTCAAAACCCAAATCAGATGGCTCCTCCTCTGTGAACAGGGCACAGGGCTAGTAAGCACTTGAAATGTAACTGGTCCAAATTGGGATGAGCTGTAAATGTAAAATATACAACAGATTTCAAAGGTTCATACAGAAAAAACGCTTATTAAAATGAATATCATCTGTTTATTTTTATTTTCTTTTTAGCGTGTCCACTAGAACATTTGAAATTATGTATGTGGCTCCTGTTTGTGGCTCACATTACATATTGACTGGAAGTAGACTCTGCCTCAGATGCTCAGTGCTCAGGGCAAAGAACTTGGCCGGGGTCTCCAAAACTGTCAAGACCCTAGGGGCTGCCGACATGTGCAGATAATTGGTTCCAAAATAGAGGAAGCTAGAAAAATCAAAATGACTACATGTTTAATTAGATGTTTGCACAATGTGAGACGCCAGCTCATCTACTGCGACTCAACTCTCGGGTAGCTATATGTAAATTACATTACTGGGGACAAAAGCAGAGCTGGGTCAGGGTGGGCAAGTGAGGCACCTCTTGCAGTATGTAAGGAAGTGCTCAATGCCAAGGTCACATAAATGCTGACACTGCACTGGCAGGACCCTGGGAGTGAGCGCCTCCTTACATTTTGCACCCCAGTGCCTCACTTCCTACTGCTTTTGCCCTGAGGACAAGGGTATTTACTACGTGCCTCCATAACCGTTTAATATATGCCCATCACTATGGGACACAGGGCCTCCGAAGTAAGGGCTCTGATACCTGGAAGTCCCCTGGGACAGAGTCAGCCCAGACTTGTCTGCTCCTGAGTACCTTTCCCACCCCGCCGTCACATCCAGCCAGCGTCTCTCGTTAGCCGCGGGTCTCCCTCGGTGCTGGGAGGAGCTCAGTGGTGGGGCCTGGCTCCGGCACCCAGCTCCGTCCCTGGCACAGAACAGCCATCCAGTCGACATGCATGAGGACGGTAAGATCTTCCCCAACGGACCTTCCCTGCCCGAGCCTCTTTCAGATGTTGCCCAGCGCTCAGGAACTTTCTTTTTCAGGAGATACCGTCTGAAGGCTGAATCCGAAGCACGGCAAAACTGGCCCCAGAACTGGGGGTTTTTAACAACCCCCTTCGAGGAGGTAAATATAAATTTTATGAGTCCTGAGGTTATGGAATCAATCATTTTGAAGTATGAATGGTTATGAGGTCTATAATTTGCGAGAATAAAATTAAAGAGCATGTTGTAGGCAAAGATTGCTAACTCTGAAACCAGAAGGTTCCCTCCTCCCACAAATTACCGAGGACTTACTACATGCCTGGCACGTTCCAGGTGCCTCCTCAGAAACAGCTCGTTAATCTGCACGCGGCCCCCTGTGCAGAGAGGAGCTCATTTAGGCCGATTTTACAGATTGGGAAATTCAAAAAACTGTAGGCCAGGCGCGGTGGCTCATGCCTGTAATCCTAGCACTCTGGGAGGCTGAGGCGGGCGGATTGTTTGAGCTCAGGAGTTCGAGACCAGCCTGAGCAAGAGCGAGACCCCAGCCCCAACAAAAAATAGAAAGAAATTAATCGGACAACTAAAAATACATAGAAAAAATTAGCCGGGCATTGTGGCTCTTGCCTGTAGTCCCAGCTACTCGGGAGGCTGAGACAGAAGGATCGCTCGAGCCCAGGAGTTTGAGGTTGCTGTGAGCTAGGCTGACACCACGGCACTCTAACCCGGGCAACACAGTGAGACTCTGTCTCAAAAAAAAAAAAAAAAAACTGCAAATTCACACAACTAATAAGGACCACACCAAGGTGAGAAGCTGGTCAATCTGATTCCATGGCCACCTGCCCTCCAATTCCCATCTATAAAATGGGGTGATTGTCCTACTTGCCTAATTGGGCAATTATGAGGTGCAGATAGAATAAGACGGTCTGTGGACACCTAGTCAGGCCTGGAGATGGAGTGGCAGATGAGAGGTTGTTGGGAAAATACTCTTGGCATTCCCTAAACCAGTGATGGCAAGTCCAGCAGTCTACAGGGACCAGACAGGTGACAGAAACAGGAGAACGGCCGCCCATGATTAATAGGGAGAGGTAGGGACTCAGGCAAAGAGACCACTGGCTTTGTCCAAAGTGGCGCCACCATCAGCCCAGCAGACTGCTACCATATGAGGAGGCCAACTGCATATTCGCATTGCCAGAGAGTCCAGAAATCCAGGTGTTCAAATGAAATCTTCCGAGTCTAGAATAGTGGCTCAGATGTGTCAAACACTGTACAGACACATAGACTGCTTACGCGGGCTTCCGTGGAGTGGTGGCCACCAGCTTGCAACCTCTCGCCCCATCTCCAGGACAGAACACGAGGAAGGCACACTTTTTCGGAGGGATGCAGTATGAAAGAACTGTATAATTCAAAACAGTCATGATTCAAGGCAGCGTAAGCTCCATTTGTAATTCACCCCACCCCACTAGCTTTGAAATTATGCCATTCCTAATGAGTTTTGTTAATTCTTAGAGAGTTACACAATTTGAAATTTTATGCATAAAATGAGTTCTTATTAATATAATATGCATAAAAGAGTCTATATTAATATTCCTTATATGTAATTAGATTGGGCGTTCAAAGAGTTCAAAATCACTTTAAAAATTAAAAGGGGGAGTGGAGGCTTTCCTCTAATATTTTAAAGGTGGGTCCTGTAATCTTTCTGGCACCTTTTAATTGGAGTCCATAACCCATCAAGTTTTCCCCAGTTCCTCCGAAGGGGAATGTAAGTCAGTGGGCTGCAACGAGCAGCGGGAGGGGGCTGCGGCCCCCACGCCACTCTTCCCTGGCTGTGTGACTGGGACAAGCCTGAGCCCCGCTCTCCTCACTTGTCACATGTGGTTTTCCGGGGGGGGGGCGATAAAGAGAGCACCTCCCCTGCCTCGGCCTGAGGTTTCCGTCTCTGGGGATTCTGTTTCAGCTGATCAAGTGTGAAGAAGAACCCCCCACCCCAAAGCCCAAAATCGAACTTCCTGAGCGTTTCCGCATCCGGCCAGTGACCCCAGTGGAGAAATACATCAAGGTTGGAAAAGTCATTTTTAAATACTCATTTTTCTAAATAAGAAATAAGCCCCATTGGAAATTGATCTCTCCAGGTGCACAAAGCCAACAGCCAAAGGTAAGAACCCAGCAGCGCCCGGCACGTGCGGAGTCCGGTTTCCACGCCCTTTCCGAGCCCAGCCACGCGAAACTTACCAGGTTCAATGCCTCTGCGTATGCATATGCGAGGGACATTGACTCTTGCTCAGCAGAAGTGGAGGGAAGCCAGGAAAAGGAGGGGCTTAAGGTGCTCTTTCAACCAACAGTCACAGGGCGTGGGCAGGAAAGCAGAGAGGGTATGGGCCCAGGCTTGGAGGCAGACTGCTGAGATCCAAGTCCCGCTCTGCTGCTCATCTCCTGTGTGATCTTGAGCAAGTGGCTTGACCTCTCTGTCTCCATTTCCTCCCGAGTTAATGAGGCACCTACTTCTGGGAGCAGCGTCGGGCTTCCGTAGGGTGATGTGCCTGAAGGACTTAGAACAATACCCGGCATTTTTAGAGGGTGGTTGGTGATTCTCAGCCATCACTAGGTGCCAGGTGCCTGGTTGGGCAAACAATGATGAACAAGAAGACAGGACCCCAGCCCATGGCCTGAGTCAGGGGAACCAACATTAAACAAGAAAATCAACAAAATTCTTATCTGATATGCTAGTCGCCAAGGAGGAAACAGGCAGGTGATATGTTGCAGGATGAGAGAGGATGGGGTAGTTAGGAGAGGCTCCCTGTGGAGGTACCCTTTGAGCTGAGGAGCCCCCAGCGGCCAGAACAAACTAAAACATCCTTTCTTCCTAAGTGAGACTCCTGCTTAGGGACAAGGGCGGAGACAGAGCCTGTTGGGTGGAGGGTAGGGACAAGGACCTCGATTCGGGTGAGAAAGGTACTTAGCCTCTGCTTCCCTCCGAACCTAATTCCTTGCCCAAGAAACGTTAAATGATTTCCATCTTCCACCTTCCCATCCCCTCTTCGGTGACCAGAGTCTTTAAGAATATACCTATTTTTAACAGGTAACCTTAATACCCAAAAGGGCAAGCTGTGGAAAGCCTCCTTCCCTCCTCCCAGGAGCTGCTGTCCCCAGCCACCGCGCCCTTGCACAGAAGCAATGCACACGCAGGCACACGCACGGCTCGCCAGCCTTGCTTTCCTATGACACAGCTTGTACCACATCTTGCAGAGTTCTGTGCACCTCTTTCTCTTAGAAGTTTATCTTAGAGGTTGTTCTGTCTTGGAGCAGGCAGCGCTGCCTCCTTCTTTTAACTGTGCTCCGTGGCGTCACTGCGTCTCCTGTGGATGGCCGTGTGGTTCCGTCCAGTCACTGGCTGCACAAACAGGGCCTTGAGGTGTCTCTCGCACTCACATCGGTGTGCACATGGGTGGCTATTACGATATCTCAGGATAAATGCCTAGCGGTAAATCGTCAGGCCAAAGGGTGTTTGCAGTCGCATTTTCAGAACACACTTGCGATATTGCCCTTACTCCTGCAACGCCCTGGTTAACTGGTGTTTTCATCCCTCTGCCAATCTGGTGGATGAAACGTGACGTCTCTGGTGGATTTCACCTGCATTTCGTTTGCAAGCTGGAGAGACGTGCAAGCTGGTCTGTGTGTTCCCAGAGCCTGGCCTGATAAGCGCTTTGACACGGCTTCCCTGTGCGCAATCTGCCCGTAGGCGGCTCAAGGACACTTTGGCCACTCTGGTGCTCACTGGTGACCCTCCCTACACGTAGCCTCTCAGGAGATTGATTGACACATCAAGAACATGTGCTAAGGGGCCTCGTCCACCAGGGGCCTCCGGACCACTCAGAACCTTGCCCGCCTCCCGCCACCTCGCTGGAAGATTCTGCTAGTAAGAGTGGACTGTAACCAAAGCGTATTAAACCTCTTTATCTTGGTTCTTCTGTTAGAGCAAACATCCCTCGCTGTTGCCTTTCTTCAAATCACCTGATAAGAGCAGAACAGATTATTTCAAAAGGAGATGAGGGGAACCTGCCTAAACGTTTACCTTCTTGTTTTCCAAAAATGTCAAGTCTGTCCAAGGAATTGACGAACGAAGGTGTGTTTTTTCATTCCAGGTAGAAGCCCGTTTTCCTTTTGGTTTTTTAATTAAATTCTACTGTTTTTCATTCCCACGGTCTCTACGATTTCACGTGTGCATCCAGGTGGATGTGCGTGTGTGTAAACACGTGTGTCAGAGCCTTCTGATAAAAACAGTCGTAACAAACAGAAAACCATCTAATGACATTGCCCTATATTTTATAAAGGGCAATGAAGACTGTAGTATTTGATGTTTTTGCATCTTACCTTTTTTATTTTTAATTAATTTATTTATTTTGCTCTCTTACCAAATAAAAATTTTACCAGATGTCATAAATTAAATACGTGAAGCATTACGAGATAAAGAAACACGTCTGATGTCCATCACTTCCAGGGAAGACGTGACCCTTAGGGTCCAGCTGATTGGAATGTGCTTATTTTTTCAGCACTCATTGGGGACACTGGCTTTTCCCTCTGTCTTTCCCGCCCCAGCCCTGGGTACCTCCGGGACACGCCTCGTGCCGCTGTGGCCCACGGTGTCTGAACCCCTGCATTTCCATTGCAGGTCCTCCCCTCCCCGCCAGTCCCGCAGACGACGCAGGGCTTCATCGGCTGGAGGTCGGCGGTGCCAGGCCTGAACAAGTGCCTGGAGCACGACATCGAGATCCAAAGCTGCAAAGGGGCGTATGCCAGGGAGCTGCGCTGGCCCAAGCAGGGCGTGCACTGAGTCCAGCCCGCGCCCCGCCTGGCGCACGAATGGCAGGCGCCGGGCACCCGGGCCCAGGCCAGGGGAGGGAAGAACTCGCCCGCGTCCCTGAGGACATAGTTCCCTGCAAACTTGCTCATGGGATGTTGCAAAGAACACAAAGTGTGCCTTAGACGGTCTCAGTTCAGCAGCGCCTCCCTTCCAGAATGTTCACGTACATACCCGTTCTTGGCTAATGTAATGAGGAAGGCAAAATTGATTCTCAGTGGTTTTTTTGATACTTTGGGAATTTCTAGGTATAGCTTTTAACAGAAAAACAATAATCGATTTAACTTTTAAAATATTTGTCTAGGTCAATTCATGCAGTTTTCAATTGCACCTATCACCATCTGTACTTATAATGAACTTGTTGATCAGGTATTTTTGTACCCAGATATCCCTGAGCCTACTTTTCAGGAGGAATAAAACACTTAGAGGATCTCTTGACTCTCCTTTGCAATAGGACAACAGCTTTAAAGGCAGAAATGAGACCAAGATTTGTCAATGAGTGTAGATTTCCAGGAGAAAATGGGCTTCCCGGGCACTCTAAGAAAACCAGCTCTGCCAACCAACCCCAAGCCCCCATCCAGCACCGACAGCACTCCACTGGGCCATCTGCCTTCCCCGAGGACATCACCCCTTGGTCAGTGTGTTATTTCTGGTTTCTGCCTAGCTCTGTCGCTCTCCTCCTAGTCCTACAAATGGGAGACAGGTGTCTGGCTGGCCAGAGACTTCTGCTGAAGTCCCAGCCTCCACACCTGTGAATGTGGACTTATCTAGAAATAAAGGCATTGCACACGTGATTAGTTAAACTAGGACGAGGTCACACTGGAGCAGGGTGAGCTCTTCTCTATGACTGGCACCCTCACAAGAAGAGGAGAGACGGAGACACAGGAGGACACGGCCACCACGTGAGGCCACAGGAGGATGGAGGCGTAAATCAGAGTGATGCCAGGAGCTCCAGAGGCAGCTGGCAGACCACTGGAAGCCGGGAAGAAGCAAGGAAGGATTCTCCCCAACAGATTCCAGAGGGAGCGTGGCCCCGCCAACACCTTGCTCCTGAACTCCAGAACAGTGACAGAACACAGTTCTGTTGCTTTAAGCCACGCGGTTTGCCATACATGGGACGGCGGCCCCAGAAAACAAACACAGCCTTGCATGAATTTTGCCACCACCTCTCCTCCCCTACTCGGAAAACACCTTCCCTGACCGTGTGTCTTTCATTGGTCTTGACCTGGGCTGTGTCTGCCTGAGACCAGATCCCATGGCCCCTCCAACTCCAGAGATGTTTCCAATCACCCAAAAGTTTAGCCTGATGTAGACTAAACAACCGGATGCTTGGCCAAGCCCATCCCTATTAAATCCTAATGTTTTGGCATCTCAGTCACTGCTGCACGGAAGGCATCTGCCCTTGAAGAAACACTCGTCCCTTCTTGTGCCCAGACGCCTCCAGCACAGACAGGCAGCGTAGCCAGAAAGAGCAACTGCTGGGTGCCCATGTCCATCCCGGCCTCACAGGGAACACATCTGCGTCCGCCGCCACGGGTGGCGCAGCACACACCTTGGCCAGGGATTAACCTCCAATGGCAGGTTGTTGTTTTTTCTAATCCTTGATCACAAAACAAATCTATGTCATCTGCATGCCCACAGCAGTTTGGCAACGAAAAAGTCTAGCAAAAAATGATGACCCCTGACCTGCCTGGCCCCAACCCTGGACAGGGAATCCACATGTCCACTTTAACTCTTCTGAAACTTGCGGCTGGACATACTTTAGTTCTGATTTTTACTGACCGGTGTGTGCTGACTGACGCCCTGACTTTAGGGAGCTCTGTGGTCAGCAGATGTTGTTGATGGAAACGCTCAGGGTGGGGCTGAGCACCACGGCACGGACAGCTGAACCTGCAGAAAAATCAGAAATCCCCATGGGGAAACCTCCGAGGATGGCCCGCGCTTCCGGACCCCAGGGTACCAGAGGACCCACATCGGATCTGCTGAACTCTAGCTCCTCGTGAGAACAAAAGTTCGAGAGACTCTGCTCAGAGTCTGAAGACACACAGTCCTCTGGACCATCAGCACGCAGTACATTCAGATACGTAGGAAACCATTGACGCTTTTTTGCTACCCTTTAACTTAAATGACGCTTACGCCAAGTTTATGTGCGTGTATTCAATGCCCCTTGGAACTACTTCTGCTTGAAACATTACAGTACTGATTCTTTTTCAGCCTTTTGCTCCGGTCAGTATACAGATGGTTAGATGTTTTCAACTAATCAATATCTAGGAAACCTTAGTTAGTGGGTTTTTGGTTGTTTTGTTTTGTTTTGTTTTTTTCTGTCACCAGTAATTTATTCATCAACTAGCCACATGTGCTTTTATGTAAAAAATAAAAATGAGGCAACATTTCTGCAGGTATGAAACTACGCTGCCAAGGTCCTCCCCACACGCAACCTCCCCCTGGACTCAGGGTCTGACCTTTGGGCGTGAAGCAATTGGAACCGCACCCGTGGGTTTGTAGCGCAGCTCGGATATCCAGCCAACAGCCCTCGTTGGGAATCAAAGTGGACAATGCCGGAGAATTCAATTACCCCAGACGGTTTCAAACTTGACATTTAATCTATGGAAATCAACCTCTTTGTGGGTGTCCAAATGGGCTCATAAATGTCACCACACTCTGTAAAATACCACAGCATTTCCAAGGGCGAGACGAGGCTGCAGAACCTGTGTGCTCGACGCCGAAATACATCACAGCAATGAGGCACCCGACAGGCCTCGGTCAAAATGAACAGTCTCTGAAGTGATGCAAAGCGTAATTGGGTCGGGGACTCAGAATGGATTCTGTCACGAGCACATTTCAGTCCAAGGCAAATTAGAAACGCCTATGTTTGTGCTAGAAGAAAATGGCATGATCAAATACAAAATAAAAACACTGGGAAACACAGCTCTTGCTCTTACACATCGATACACACCGGGGTGTAACTGTCCGACAGAGTCTGGGTTTCAAGTGTCCAAAGTCTGGGACCAGATTGTTTGGGAATTTAGAACTCTGCACATTTGAGAAAGTGCATATACTATATATTACATAATCCCCTCAGCAAGGTCTGAGGCAGCCCCTCAAAATTAAAACCATTCATATTTTTGTACCCAGACCAAGGGATATTCACACTAAATGGAATAAAGGCTCAAGGGAGCCATATTTCAGTTTGTTTCAGATTTTGCCACCAAATGAGTGTTGGTATCAAACTAATTAGAATACTTCTAGGTTTTGGAGCATTTTGGAGCTTGGAACTGATAAGAGATTTTGGACATAAAACATCACTATCACAGAAAATGTTGTAGGGGTGGTTCTTTCAGATCTGCCTTCAGTTATGAACTTATATCAGAACTCTCTTGGTTTTAAGAGGAAGAAACCCGACCCCAACTAGCCACAGCACGAGAGGAATGTAATGACCCACATAACTAGAAAGCTCTAGGGTATGTCTGCTTCAGGCACAGCTTGATCAGGGCTTCAAACAATATCACCAAGACCCAGGATCTTTCTATTCCAATTTCTTTCAGGTTGGTCTGTCTCAGCAATCCCCAACCTTTTGGGCACTAGGGACCAGTTTCATGGAAGACAATTTTTCCATGGACTGGGGTGGGGGATGGTTTCTGGATGATTCAAGCACATTACATTTATTGTGCAGTCAAACCTCTCTGCTAATGATAACCTGTATTTGCAGCCACTCCCCAGCACTAGCATCACCACCTCAGCTCCACCTCACATCATCAGTCATTAGATTCTCACAAGGAGCCACAACCTAGATCCCTCACACGCGCAGTTTACGGTAGGGTTTGTGTTCCTATGAGAATCTAATGCTGCCGTTGATCTGACAGGAGGCGGAGCTTATGCGGTGATGTGAGTGATGGGGAGCGGCTGTAAATACAGATGAAGCTTCGCTCCCTCACCTGCTGCTCACCTCCGGCTATGCGGCCTGGTTCCTAACAGGCCGTGGACCCGTACTGGTCCATGGCCCTGGGGTTGGCGACTGCAGATCTATCTGACTACTTTCTACTACAAGTAGCAAGGCTCAGCTATAACACAAAGGTAAAATACGAACAGGTGGTCCAGAGGTAGGCTGAGCAATAGGGATAGTCTAGTAACTTAACGTGTACGATGCTGTTTTCAGCACACACGTTTAAGATCTGGTCATTGCCAAGGCTCAAGAGAAATCTAGGTGTTCCTTCAAAATAACAAAAAATAAATTAAACTCCGCCCATGTCCACATTTAAAAAAATAAACTTTAATATCTTTCTGAGGCCATTCATTTAAACTTTAAAATTGGAGCCCAGAATAATTCCAAATTTTCCGCTTGCTGCACTTAATTGCATTACTATGAGGCAACCTGACAGGGCTTTAGTTCCAGAAGACGATCGTATGGTTAATAAGCTGTGTTCTGCATGGGTGGGTAATGATTCTGGTTAGATGAAAGTCAAATGATGACTCTTGGATAAGCCACAGACGCAGAACCCCAGGCACCCAGAGAGAGCTGCTTGCTGCCCCAGAGAAATTAGACACGCGAGTCAGCAAGTGTTTTCTGAGTGCTGAGTGCTCTTGCCTGGGTATGATTGATTGATTTGCTGTTCAGGAAGCTCCCTTTTAATTAGGAAGTAAATCTTCCTTCTTGATGTCTGACTACAGCATTCCATCAAGGATACACAGGGAATGTTGGCCCAGGAGTAAAGGAGGAGTCACTCAAGCCGTGTGGTCGCCACAGAGCCATGGGGCAGGGCTGGCATGGGGTGCCCTGCAGATGGGGGGCATGTCTGGGGCAGAGCCTGGGCTGGGGCCCCTCATAGGAAAAGGGAGGCTGGACAGCCGCTGTCGGGGCGGGGAGATAAAACAGTGGCTAACATGGATTGAGTCCCTACTAAGTGCCAGTGTGGCAGGGCCTGACCCCACGTTTTGATGCTTGACTGCTGACGCCTTTCAAGTCTCACCCTCTCTCCCCTGC